CGCTAATGTTTTTGTCACTTTTTATGGAATCAAACTCAAAGTAAGGTCAGTACTTCCACGCTTTAAACGCTGCACGCTCATACTCTCTCCTACACTCGATATATGATCCACTGTTGATCTGCACACAGCTGTTGTCACTAACGGCGCACTCGCTTATGTCACTGTCATGAGACATTCTCGCAAAAAATCACGGTTTCAGTAACGCAGTAACGCAGCGTTCCTACGGGAAAGTAACTGTAATCTAATTACCGTTTTTGCAATTGTAATCCCTTACTTTACTCGTTACTTGAAAAAAGTAATCGGATTACAGTAACACATTACAAGTAACGCAGAACAACCTCCAGATCAACACTAGCAAAAACAAGGAGCTGGTGGTAGACTTCCACAGGCACAAACATCCTCCACTGCAACCACTGGACATCCAAGGTATGGACATTGAGACTGTGGACAGCTACAGGTACCTTGGTGTTCATCTGAACAATAAACTGGACTGGACTCATAATTCAGACGCCCTCTACAGGAAAGGGCAGAGCAGGCTGTACCTGCTGTGGAGACTCAGGTCGTTTGGAGTGGAGGGCCCACTCCTGAAGACCTTCTATGACTCTGTGGCGGCCTCAGCCATCTTTTACGGTGTGGTCTGCTGGGGCAGCAGCATCTCTGCCGGGGACTGTCAACCCTGTTGGACAACATCTCCCACCCCATGCAGTAGACTCTGACAGCATTGAGCAGCTCCTTCAGTGGGAGACTGCGGCACCCACAGTGTGGGACCGAGAGATTTCACAGGTCTTTCCTCCCCACTGCTGACAGACTCCACAACAAACTGTCAGGGCTCTGTGTGCGGGGAGGTGGAGATGTGGATCCAAGTGCAGGACTCTGAGATGGAAATATAACTGAAAACCACAGCTTTATTGCTGGCACCAACAAAACAGAAACCAAACATGAAAACACTAACTGGAACACACAGGCAGGCTCTGAGGGTACGACGCGACACTGGGTTGAGGACAACACAGGGCTAATATACACAGGGTGGTAATCAGGGAATGGGTAACAGAAGGGAGACACAGCTGGGGGAGATCAGGGCTAACGAGACGGGGGAGCTAAGCTGCACACACTAACATAAGACAAAGACTTTCACAATAAGACAGGAAACAAGAAACCACTAAACAAAGATGCAGACACGACAGAGAGACAGACTAGACACTGAACAGAAACTGCAATACACATGAGAACGCAAAACCGAAGAACTGATCCCTCACCAAGAATAACTGAAACAGATCTATAATGATAATAATAAGAAACTCAAAATGCTGACCCAGAACCGTGACACAAACACACACATCCAAAACACAATGATAACTTTCATCCTGTCTCCCACAACAGTACCAAGTGCAATTTTCCTAATAGAGCAAAGTATTTTATTCTATTTTGTATAGCATGTTATTCTATCTTATCTTAATCTATTGTTTTTTCTTTTTTTCTTCATTTTTACTGCTCTTGTACTTTCTACCATGACCAGATAAAGGTTTATCTTATCTTATAAAGTTAAAAGATTAAAACTAATAAAACAAGTTTTAAGAGAGTCTTTTTTATTTGATTCAATTTCATATGATGGATTAGGCAGAAAAAAATAGAATTGGCCTGAAAGGTCTGTTGCTTTATCACGTATTCAGGTTGTGTATCATGTTTTTAAAAAGTAACCAAGTAATAAAGTAACCAATTAGTTTTGAAAATAAGTAATCAGTAATGTAACGGGATTACTTTCTTGAAGAAGTAATCTGTAATAAGTAACTAATTACTGTTTTCAAGTAACTTGACCAACACTACTCACCAGTTAGTTAAACTTCAGGAATGTCTGAAAGACACACAAATGATGATCTCTAATACCCTGCTTTGTTTGGGACAATACTGAGGTCACTCTACTCTGTAAAAATCTTAGAAACATGGTGTTCATGCTTTTGCTAAAAGTAAATCATCTTTACTCTTAATCAAAGATAAAAATCCAAGTATAAGTTTCATTAATGTGTGTGTGTGTGTGTGTGTGTGTGTGCTTCTGTGCCGTCTGTACCAGAGAATGTGTGCAAACATGGCAAACAGCCCTGTGAGGGTTCCTCAGACATACGAGGGGTGGACATCAGAGGCAGTTAGAACTCCTCACCCAGCAGCTCCATCTGCACTGCCTACTGGTAAAACTCAGCATCAGGAAATGGACTTTGCAAACATAGAGTCAATCCATGCTTCATGTATTGGGGTGCTGGTTTCACAGACTAACAGAAGGTAAACTGTAAGAAATCTTGGAGTCATTTTTGACCAGTATAATTTCTTTAATGAGCATATTAAACAAGGACTGCTTTCTTGCATGTGTGAAATATAACTGTAAAATTAAAACAAAAAAAAAAACCCCAGAGTGATACTACAAATTGACTTGATTTGCACTGGTTGCATTTCTTAACATTTAAGCTGGACTATTGTAATTCATTATTATCAAGTTGTCCTTTCAGTTAATCCAAAATGCTGCAGCAAGAGTCCTGACAGGGACTAGAAAGAGAGCAGATTTCTCCTGTATTGCATCCCTTCATTGGCTCCCTGTTAAATCCAGAATTCAAAATCCTGCTCCTGTCACGGTCCTGAGTCTGACGACTCTTTATGCTTTTGTTTATCCTGAGTATGTATTCTGTTATGATTTGCCATTTATTAGGTTTCTGTTCTGTGCCTGCCCTGGTCCCACTTCTGTCTATGGTGTCACACTGTCTGTGTGTGAATCTGTCTGTTCAGTTCAGTGTCTTGTCTGGTTCTCTGTGTCTGAGTTTCCTGTTTTATTCTGAAGGTCCCCGTCTCATGTGAGTGTGTCCAGTTTCCGTTTCCCCTGTCCCGTCAGCTCTGATTCCTCCCAGCTGTGTTGCCCTCCTGTCTCTCATCCCCTGATTACTGCTGTGTGTATTTAAGCCCTGTGTGTTCTCCTGCTTGTTGTTGGTTCTGTGGCTCTCTGCGCCACACCCCGTTTCATATGTTCTCAGGTTTGTTATTTAGTTTTCGCGGTTTAGGTTTCTTTAGTCATTTGTCATTCCTCACTCCTCACTGCCTGTTCCATCACCCTATTACTTGCAAATAAACGTCACTTGCATCAGTCAACTGCCTGCATTTTGGGTCCTTTTCCCTCCAACACCACACGGCTCGCCTCGACAGCGTGACAGCTCCTCACATACATCTCATCTTATCTTAATGACCTTGTAGTACCATATCACCCTATTAGAGCACTTTGCGCTCGCTCTGCAGGCCTACTTGTTGTTCCTAGAGTATTTAAAAGTAGAATGGGAGGCAGAGCCTTCAGTTTTCAGGCCCCTCTTCTGTGGAACCAGCTTCCAGTTTGGATTCAGCAGACAGACACTGTATTGTAGGTCTACCTTACAATATAAAGCGCTTTGAGGCGACTGTTGTTGTGATTTGGTGCTATATAAATAAAACTGAACTGAAAAAACCTGAATCGAAGTATACAGAACACATGTAGACAGGTTGGTCATAGGTTGGTCCCACCCACTCTCACACACTCTCAAGAGGATAAGGACCTGGTCCAGTGTTCCACAACCAGGACAAAAAAGATCTTGCTCTGACCGGACCTAACATTGGAGACTTAGGTCCAAAATTCAGTGTTCTGCTGACCCGTCCATCCACCTTAAACTTCTTGCAATACGTTCCTCATATTTAAAGACCAGAGATATAGCTTAACAGTCTGTGTGTCACACCCATGTTGCTCTCAGCCTCTTTTCCAAAGCGAAGGCTTCACAGATGGTCAGTAACATGACAGGAAACCTCTTTTACACTGTTTGGTTCTGAAACTTGATTTTGGTGTGTTTCAGTATATGATTCATGTGGACAACCAAAACATTTAGTGACGTTTTTGTTTTATACTTAAACCTAATGACTGTGACGATTCATTTTTTCGTATTTGCTTCATCACCTCACTTAAGTCGAGTGTGGCTAACATACACAAACATTTGAAAAAATCATTTTCTGTCTGTACGTAGATAGCTGTAGCTAGGTGTTATCATTATCTGTGCTCACATGTTGGTCCAGTTATTTTGGGCCAATAAACACCTGTGAAAAATTCATTAGTAGCACCAGTATTATTTACGGCTTGAGTTAAACATCTGACAGAAGTTCACATCTCTTGATTTCAGCTATATCAAGCTTCATGCCACAACTAGGTCTGCGCCAGTGGAAATGCTTTTTGACCCACTTAAGTTCAATAATTTAATTTAATTGTTTGACAGCACTAATATTATTATATATGTATACTTACCTATTAGTATATAGGTTGTTAAAAAGTTGTATTTCACAAGAGAGAACCTGTGCTGACAGACTGAAGAAGACTATTCAAACTCTCTTTGAATTTAAGCATTTAACAACAGTTATGTTGTTTAGATGTCAGTTACAGGCTTAAATATAAAGTTGAAAAAAAGTAATTGCAACCAAGCTATTGATCAAGTAATTGTGATTAATCGACATTTTTTTTATCTATTGACAGCACTACTAATAATATGTTTTGGGGTTAGGGTTAGACCCCAGCCTGATTGTTCGGTAGAATTTCTAATAAAAAAAATCCAATTTTCATCCTGCAGACATTAAACATGTTATTTATATTAAAAAGGGAAATCACGTGATCACTAGTGACTACTGATGATTATACACACACCACATGGGTGAAGTAATCGTCTGACCTCCCTGAAGTGCACCGTGAACAAGTGTCTGTGCTCCCTAAACCCATTTTAAACATTATCCTTTGTGTTGGGGGTGAATTGATTTATACTGTGTACGTTTGCATTTTTGGTCATGGAGAAAATGTTATTGGGAGCACTCCAGGTCATTTTCCCATTTGAGTGTTGGTAGTGCGATAGATACATCAGTGTTGGAAATTACTTTGCATAGTTTGGAGGTTATTCTTCTGGGGTGAGTGATTTTCATTATTTCTTCAGCTAATCTGGAGGGAAGCAGTGGATTAATTGTTTTCTTGGATTGGATTTAATCTTTCCATCAGCTTCCACCTTGGGAGCGCTGTCTCCTTGAGCTGGCCTTTTCTTTTGCAGCAGTCAGTGAAAACAAAGTGTTTTCGCCTTTCGTGTGATTGTGTCGTTTTACATGTTGGTTGCCTTTCAGTCATTTTGATTTTGGGGAACATTTTCTTCAATCCCATCATCATCATCATCATCATCATCATCATCCATGAAGTTCTACGGTGTAATAGCATTTCTGTTAGGACTACAACCTATTCTCCTGGCAATTCTCGCTCCAGCTTCAAGCTCAGTGCTGTGCAATTGCAAGAGCTTTATTTACACTTTTCACATATACAAGTCTGTACCATCTGTAAGCTCTGGTGAGTGCAAACAGCATGTAAATCTCTCGCTCAGCTGGGAGCGCTGTCTCTGTTGTCCTCTGTTTATGCTAGATGAAATCGCTCCCTGGGCCACTCTTGCTTCCCCAGGCTTCAAATGCATCTTTTAACTTGTGCACAAGGATTCAAGAGTCTCTGAGGTAAAGCCAAATTCAGTTGTCTCTCAATGTCAGCTGAAAATAACAGGATGTCAAAAAAATAAATGAATCTGAAATCCTCTGATTGTCGGCACCTGTCTGCACCTCTCGTTCTCCCCTTTGGCTGAATGGGGGGAAAAAAGTTTAAGTGATCTTCTTCTGATAGGTTAAAAAATATATATTAATAGCCTTAAATGCTTTGCAATCTTCTTGGATTGACACAGAGATGGCGATCCACTGCTTCCACAGCTTCCTTAAGTAAGCCAAGAATGTTCGCAGCATAAATACTAACATTCAAGTTCATCTTCCATCAACTGCATCTCAACACTGCATGCAGAAGGTGAGGAGATATTTCTCACCTTAGGCAGTAGACCATATGTTCTGTGCAACCAACCTATATGGAGGCAGAGGAAGGGGGGGTGGGGGGTCATCTCAAGTCATTTTATTCACCAAAAAACCCCAAAACAAAAACAGCATGTATATGCAACCATTTGCTCATAGTTCACTCTTGGGGAAATCTGCTCCAAAGCTGCTCCATCAAACATTGATCTCTAGTTGCGCTGCAATAGCTTATCAGCATTAGGGTGTTTAGGTTTTCATTTCCAAATGATATTAATCTGTGTAAGTTGTAGTAGAAGTGTACTTTCAGATTTCAGCTAAGGGGCTCAGTGACTTATTGGCTGGGCCTGGATGGCGAGGCTCATCCATACCCCAACACTGCTTTAGCAAGGCGGTGCATTCAGCGTGGCTTGCACATATCTGCATGAGTATTTCATATGGAAGTCTATTCAGTCCACCATATTGAGTCTTTTATTTTTTATCCGTTTTTATTCCATAGTTAATTAATCCTCCTTCCTAGCCTTTTGGCAACCACTACGCTTGGTGCCATCAGACACCAGCAAAGAGAAAAGCAAGCTAGTGACTCATACTCACGCTCCCTGTCTGAAGCTTCCCCAGCCTCCTTTCATAGCATCAGTTTCTCTTATACAGCCTTTTGCATTGTACATCTTCTGTCATGCACAGCTATCAGTCATGTATTGATTATTATCCTGTGTAAGGACAGCAGAACTATTTCCATGATTATTCTGAGCAGATTATTAAGAAACCGTGATTTGGCTAAAAGGGGGATTTTATGTCTTTAAGAGATTATTTGGGGATATTACAATAAAATGATGTTAGAAAACTTATCCTACAATGCTACTATATATGGTTGGGATTAGGGGAAAGTGATGGCGATGACTCAGCATTAGACAGTGTGACTGATGTAACACAGGAATATAAAAATCCACCAGTGTGACTTCTCACTTACTGACTTAGGAACAAACTGTATTAACAATGAACAGCATATTAAGCGCTGCATGCATTAGCAATAACATTTGGTACAGATGTAAAATAACAACAGAGCCTCATCCAGTAAAAACTCAGTTTGAAGCATTGCAGTGTTTTACGGGTAGAAAACCAAAACGATGCATTCCTGCCAACAGCTTAGACCAAAGCAGCAGCTACCATTCAAACCAAGTCAAAGGTTCTGAGTATATCAACAACAAAATAATAAAAAAACAGCAGTTTTTAGCACGTGACATGTATGTTTGATCTTAACTCTCGAGCTGTAGATAAAAATGTACATGACAGCGGCCACATGTTTCCTGTAAAGTGTGGTGGAGCAGAATCGTTACATAACAGCTGATAACGGGGTTACAGTGAGGACAGTTTACAACACTGCTGATAACTTTGGTGATCGGTCATCTATCCCTGCTGCTCTGGCCTTTTCATCTCAGCCTATCAGCACAAGAGACACAGAGTAAACCCGAGAAACACAAACAGAAGTATTTTTACATTCCTGTCAAAACGATTCAAAGAAAAAACAAAAAAACATCAACAAAGAATTAAATACAATCAAATTTCAATTCCCTGAAATGAAACAAGACATCAAACAGTATAATAATCATCTAGACACGTGAGACAAGCACAGAGACAGTAGCTGGAAACAACAGTTAGCAGTTCTTTAGAGCCTCGGGTTTATGCTGTGTTCACACTGTGAGCAACAAGAGAAGCACTTTGTGATTCAAACAGGAGACACAGGTGAAAGAGCTGGATTCTGTCTCTAATTTGCCACCTGGCAGGTTTGGCAGAACGCTTGACCATCAGCCTCTCTGGTATTTCATCACACATTCAGTTGGTAAAGTGACAAATGCTCTAACATCACCTGTAGACTCAGTAAGCAACCTGCCCTCAGTGTGAACACGCAGACCTCCACCACGTTGACTCTATTATTACATTTACACCTGAAGTCCTGCCAACTACAGTTTCAAGGACGCATGTGGCGTGTCAGCCACATGTGTCCCAATAAGGCATGGTTTATACTGAGAGCAGTGCACAAACATAATACCTCCTGCAGACATTTTACAAAGATCCTTGTCATTATTAAAAGCGAATCCCCGTGTTTCCCACCCCCGGACCCACACCCACCTATCCATAAAGGAGAGCATTAGTTTCAAGCCACCCATAAGAAAAAGTTCCGACTGGCCGAGATTATAGGCCTGACACCACCGCAGAAATGAGCAGAGCCAAGCCTGAGAGGAGGTGGGCATGGGGACAGGGCAGTGTGGAGGAGGCATCCTTCTGCACCATCATACCAGTCCCTACAACACAGAGAGCACATGGACAGCTCAGCGTACATGTGGCTATAGCTCTGACTTGAAACAGCATTCCTATCACAGCTATGGAAGCCTAGACGACAACAAGAAACGTGCAAAAATAAAAACATCTCCTGGCTTGACCTTCATTTATAACCAGCATGCACTAAACGGCTAACATTTAAAGCCATAAATGTTTATGATCAACATTATAAATATCCTTATCAAACCATATCTCGGAGATAACATGGCCTTGGATAAATGCAGGTTCCAGGGGTCGTTTTTCTTCTGCATAACTATTTATCGATAAGAGCGTACGTGCATGGAATCAAAGTGCTGCAAGCAGGTAAAAAGATGAATAGAGTTTGTATAAAGGCTTTTCACTGGTCCCTGAGAGTGCACAGTAAACATGTTTCTATACACAGTCCCCAAAGTTAACAGGCTTCAAATGAGCTGGACAGCTGACCAATAACCACATTCAGGTGTAGGTGAGCCCTGCTCACTTTTTCACTGTCATCTTGAATATAAGCGAAGGACCCAATCACGAGGCTGGAAAAGCTATGAAAACTTTCCAAATCGACCTCAACCTTAAAAAAAGCAGAGCAGCGTGAAAAGGCCTGAAAGACCACAGAGGACTGAAGTGACAGCTAAAACAAGTCTTTGAGGAGGGGAGTGTATCACTGAGAGGCTCTGGAATCACTGCCTTCACAAATGGAAATACAGGGGCACAAAATCCATGTGGCTGGTTTCCCTCAAGAAGACTAGAGCAGACTCTGTCATAGCTAACAGAGTCTGTACAGTTTAGAAACCTTTAGACTGCGTGGAGACGATGCTGCAGCAGAGGCCTGTGTTGGAAACCACGAAGCAAATCCGGCCTAATGTAACACAGCCAGGGAGCAAAAAGTGTTTTCCTTTCATTATTTGCACAATTTTTTAACTAATGAACTATTAAACCGGAGAAATATATGGTTTGTGCTTCCTGATTTGTCACCTGAATCCCGGGACACGATAATCTCGTGTGCTGGCCCGTCCCCGCCCTCGCCCCATGACCAAATCTCCAACACAATGTAAGCGTTGTCTTTGGGCAGCGGCAGGCTCAATGACGTCTTCGTCTTGTCCAGAAACTTCAAAGCTGCCTGGTCCTCGTGCTTGTACAGAACCTGGAGACAGAACAAAGTCTTTTTACAGTGTTTATCTGTTGATTTGATAAAGTTATCTTTGGGTGATTATAACATGACACAAGCTTATAAACAAGATCTTTGACTTTTTTTTACAGCCAGTTTATTGGTTCACATAATTCCACGATGAGGTGAGCTGTTTCACGATGAACCTTACCGAGCATGAGCGCTGCAGCAGAAAGAAAGCAGTTAATCCAACACACCTGTATGTGCTCAGAAACACAAACATGACAATCCTCGAGTCCCTGAATGCTGGAGGAAAAAGAAGGATTTTCCCCAGGATAACATTTTTATATTCCCAAAGCCAAATCACAGCACTGCTAACTGTCCAGCTGTGAGCTCTGATCGCAGGCTTGCTCTTTTCTTATGATCGACTGTTACAAACTTTCTTTTAAGTCACAAGTACTGTAAACCATGCTACATGCAAGTGGCTTTAAGTTCCGACCGTAAATACAGATTCAAATGTATAAAGCATATTAACCACCTCCTGCCCACAGAGTGACAGAACACGTTGGACCATGACAAATGAACAAAAGCTGCAGTTTAAAATAAGCACAGATCAAATGTTCTTGGGCCACGTTGGAGACATGCTCAGACTAATGGGCTTTCCTGTACTTGGTCAAGCAGCCAGTGTAGACCATCCTGCTGACTGGTATCCCAATCCCACTACAATTCTTTTATTATTGTTAATAAGCATGCAGGTGGGTGACAGGTATCAACGTGTACTCCATATGAATATTAGGAGAACATAACAACGTTCTCAGGGTCACAACCATTTAAGATTTTCCAGGTGAAACTCCAAAATGTGAGAAGCTGATGATGCTTCAGCATGCATGCACAGAGAGTGCTCAGGACTGAATAAGACCAAATAAACTGATCAGAAAGGCTGGCTCTGTGATTGGCTGCACGCTGCAAACACCTGCAAGTGTGACGCTGCTGGTACAGGGTAGTGAAAGTGTGTCACAGCTAATCTTGACCACCATCTGCATCACCGGACAGGCAGCAGCTTACTTCTGTAACAACCTGGCCCAGCTCTTATGCATTAAGACTATGCAACGCGCTTGCCTAGCAAACACTCGGATTATTTCTCCACATGTGGGATCAATAACATAAATCTTATTTAGATCCAGGACTCACTTTGTAGCCCAGTATGGCTGACTCGTTGTGCATGGCTGTCACTTGGTCCCATCTCACCGTGACCCGCGAGCCGTGAGCCTTCCACGACACGCTGCCCGGAGGACGATTGGGAGCTGAGAAGGAAAAAGCACATTTCAAAAGAATCGAGCTCATCCCTTTCAGTAGAAATGATGCATCCTGAGTAACAGCAGCCATTTTCATGTGTATCACTGTGAGGGTATTGACCCTGTATAACAAAGTCACACCAGACAGAGTGGTGATTAGAAGAGCACAGACTGCTGGACACAGCTTTACAGCTGCTCCATGAATGCAGCTTCCAAAGGGAACATTTGTATGTGAAGTGATTAAAGCTTCAGATCTGCTTTAACTTTAGTAAGCAGAGTAAACTCTCCTATAAAAGCACGTGGTTCACTCAGTCAGCAGAAGCAAAGCAGGATGGTTTCCTGTCAGGCATCACTGTGCTGGGGCCTGCTCGCCTCCAGGACAGAAACATTGAATTAATCTGATTTTAATGAGCTGTCATTAAAAATAAGTCCTGAGTCACTTACATGTAATGAATATTGAAGATATAAAATATGACATTTATGATTAAATTACAAGAAATAAATGTGTTCATGACATTCTCATTATCTGAGATGTATTATCATGAAGAGCAAACACCAACGAGCAGCCAGCTGGATATTACACCTGCATAATTTAAACGCAGTCGTATATGGTCTGAAAGGTTCGTGTGTCCTTTGCAGCGGTGTGAGAGCAGACGTCTCTGTGAGTGAGTTGTCTTTGCTTTATGTTACGTGCTCTGTGCTGTCATCTTTCTAACAGAGAGCGCTGCACCCGTACGTGGTTTCCTGGTGGTGACGGCGGTGCGTGGCGAGGGCGGTCCTGTGCCGGCACTGTTGTATGCCAGAACAGCGACGTGGTATCGAGTGCTGGGTCGAAGTCCAGACACCCTGGCTGTCGGCTCCAGGCCCGCCGTCCTCACGCGGTCCGCTGCTGCTTCTCTTTCGTGCTGCCGCCAGTACCGGATCTGTTAACGCACAATGACACATCACTACAGACCTTTCACTCGTCTTTCTTCAGCTTATATATTTATACTCTTTTTAAAGCGTCCTTGGGTTTCTTCAAAGGTATTATTATTATTATTAATGTTGTCTTATAAACTCCATGTGAACAGTACTCAGAGCCTTCACTTTCAGACACACATGCTGTCCACAGCACATGACAAAGTTTGAAATAACACAAGGTTTTACATGATACAAAGCCATCAGACTGCTGTCATTTTCTATTATTTCCTCCACATATATGTTCCTGCTGTTTTTAAGCTCGTAGTTTGATATAAATTGTTTTCTCAGTTGTCCACATATTTGTGATAGTTACAGGCTATGCTGCTTTACAGGGATGAAGTCACTGAGCTCGTCACCTCGTATCCTCTCAGGATGCCATTGGTGCTGAGCTGCTGCACAGGCTCCCAGGAAACCTGGATCTCAAAGGCGGACAGTGCCGTGGCATTGATGCTGGAAGGCCCCACGGTTGGCTCTGTGAGGAGTCAGCCAGAGTGTAAAAGGTTAGCAATGTGCAGTATGTGCACTGTCTCACATAATTATATACTCTTACAGTGTTGTCCACTTTTCTGCTGCAGCTTTGCTGACCATGTTCTTACTGTGCTTGATTAACCAGCCCATATATATCAGGTTTTTCATTATTTGAATCTTATTTACATGGACTACTACCACCAGTCAAGTTGTAAGTGTAAGACTGTGACCCTTTCTAAAACTATGGCTGCCCTCTAGTGGTTACAGAAAAGACTGCAGGTGGAGTTACATTAGAAATCTTCTTGTGATCTTCAGAAACACTGGAAACTGATCCCTGCCCCGTGCTTTCACGGCCTTCCATCGTGCATGGATCTGAAATGTTGTTTGTCTCATGTCTCTAAGTATAAGAATGGTGTATGGAGCTGCAAGTGAAGTAGGAGCTGACTGTACACACCACTGTGTCTTGTCTTAATTAAGTACACAGATGTGTAAACTTGCTAACGACATATAGAACCATCCATCCATCCATCCATTCGCTTCCGCTTATCCTTTTCAGGGTCGCGGGGGGCGCTGGAGCCTATCCCAGACATATAGAACCAATTGAGCTTATATAGATTATGTATTGTAAACGTGCAGGTTGGGAGCTTCAGCTAATGTCCTCATTAAACATTCAGGTGAGACTTCCAGTATCTAGAGTTTATTCAGAAACACTGAGTGTCAGCTCTGCAAACAGAAGCAGGACCGCGGCTGGAACAAGACTGCAGTAATAATGAGAAAGTCTTTGCAGCTGAGTTAAAGAGGCATGGGTGCACTCCCACAGTTTGAGACCTCTTTAGGCTAGACTTCAGTCAGCCATGAACAGCTACAGAGGCTGTTCATGGCGGTGGTTTCAGTTCCAGCTCTGTACACTCATGTTAGCGCGTCTGTGTCTCTGTATTCCTGCTCCACAAACTCAGACATGAGGAGGAGAATGGATGGATGCTTTCTTGATACCAGGTTCTTTCTGTTTCTTGTCCTCTGCGTCTCCTGTGCAAATCAGTCTTGTCTCTGTGTTCTTTTACCTGTCTGAGTAATCACCTGGTGTAGTTCACCTCCCTAACTACTAGGGGTGCAACGATATTCGTATCGATATTGAACCGTTCGATACAGTGCTTTCGGTTCGGTACGCATATGTATCGAACAATACAACATTTGTAATTTATTTTATCAATTTTCCTTCTGACGATGCTGTCTGTGTTGAGCGCTCAGTGAATCTGTGTTCGACTACTCCGCTTAGGCTGCACTGTCGAGCGCAGATCCACTGAGCGCTCCACACAGACAGCATAGTCAGAAGGAAGAGCGCAGGGCAAGCTAGCGAGACAGAAGTTAAGCTCCCCTTACAACATGGACCTCCCCCACCCTCCCCCACTCTCATTCAGATCTGGCGTTTGGAATTATTTTGGTTTTCATGTGATGTATGACCCTGAAGGTAAGCGAGTCATGGACTAAAGTAAAACAGTATGTTGGATGTGCCATGCAATGCTTAATTACATGGGTGGGAACTAGTGTGTTAGCGCAGTTAGCTCGTTAACGTGTTGGCCGTCTAGCCCCATGCACGGAGCGATCGGCGGTAGCTCGTTAACGGAGATTTGCCGTGTTGTGGCGTTAAGGTCATTTCAACGAGATTAACCTGAAAGCACTAGTGGGAACACAACGAATATGACTGCACATTTACGCCGACATCATCCTAGTGCAAAGACAAGTGGAAGCAGACAAAAAAAAGCAAGCATGCTACTAACTTTAGCCGAGTCATTTAGACAGCTGTTAGCACATGATTCTCCTTATGCTGCTGAGAATATAGCCCAGAAGAAGCGGATAGTATAGCTTTTATTTTGGAAAGAGACATTTCTCTGTAATAAACTCTCTTTTCCAAAGATGAGTGATTCCTCAATCAGATACAGGGCTTCGCAATATCGCTAGCCCGACGTCCCGGAGCTAGCGATTTTTTCAGTCGGGCTACCAAAATCTATCTCTTCCCTGCCCGTCGGGCTATTGTAGGAAGGAAATATATGTCAATGCTTTTGCATTCTTTCAGAAATGTAGCTGGGTAATTATGTCATTGGCATCGGTGAGCCACTGTCAATATGTGACATATTGAAATCGCGTTTGAATTTGCGCTTGTTTTTTTGCTTTCACTTTGCAATCGTGCGAACTGTGTATAGAGAGCGACAGCACTGATCTGTGAGTGATGATAATTTGTGCACCAATTCCTCTGACATCGTCTTATTAATCGTTAGCTTACTATGCAAACATGACAAGTGAAATCTCCCGCAGCAAGCTTAAACATGTGAGAGGTTGATCGCGCAGAGAATCGCTGAGCTTATGTGAGTGAGTGTGTAAAAGCATTTCAGTTCTGCTGAGCCAAATAAGACAGGTCAGGGTGAAGAAGTGACAGCCAAAGAAAAGCTTACCACAAAACGGAGAAGTTATGACAAATCAGACTATAAGGCAAAAAGAAAGTGCAGCTTTATGGTTTCATGGACAAAAGAATTTCTGTGGCTGCAATATGATCGAGCTAAATAACCAGGGCTGCACATAAGTGGTCCGCAGGTGCGCATTCGCTGTCAAAATAAAAAACCGCACAAGGGTTAGGGTTAAATTTAAAAACTGTACTTTTGAGTTAAAATATATATTTATAATTTTAATAAATGACAAATTAAAAAGGCATGAACATTTTTTTGTATCGAAAAAATATCGAACCGTGACACCAAAGTATCGAACCGAACCGAACCATGAATTTTGTGTATCGTTGCACCCCTACTAACTACCTCGTGTGTGTTTTAAGTCCAACATGCCAAGATGCTGCTGCTGGTAAACTGGACGTTCACTTCAGAGTGCTCTGGTAGAGTAGAAACCAGTACATTCAGCTTTTAATACCAACCTGCTGTTGACTGAATGTCACACAGTATCTGAGCAGTGTTCAAACCTCATATCTACAGCTGGGATGTGGTGGGATGGTGGACTGGTTCCATGATAGAAGCAGATTACACTGGAAACAGGAACCGCAGCACGCTTCTCATGTGGTCCCACAAACGTGTTTAGTAAGAAACAGTTTCTTGGTTCATTCATGTCATTTAAACAGAACGCTGTGCAGGTGAGCTCAGAGTCACTGAGTCAGTTCAACGTTTACAGTGAACCACAGTCTTCGTGTGCACAAACACATCCACCACAAACTACTTCTGTACAAAGCAGTGATGCAATCAGAGCAGCCATGTAAAGTAGCAGTTCGGACGGACACTGGGACATCTGCCACAATGATCACACCGTGGTGGAAGTAGCTGAACGTCAGCGGTACTCACCTTCCTCTGCGGAGTGAACCACAGCCACCTGGCTAAACGGGCCTTCTCCTTTGCGGTTATAAGCTTTGATCTTCACTTCAAAGGGAGTGTATGCTGCCAGACTGCTGTTGTAGTAAACATGTCGAGAGGACTCTACACGTGGAACTCGCACCTCTGTCCATGATGATGTGTCCTTCTTTCTGAACCCCAAGATGTACCCGAAGCCGTCACCGTTCTGGTATTCTCTGGCCATGGGCTGGAGACAAAATCAGACCTTCTCACACACCAAGTCTGAACCCAGCTGTCCCAGTAACACCATCATGATCACAGTGATATCACAGTATCTCCAGTACTGATCATGGTTAACTGCTCGTGTTTCTGTCTTTCTGTCTAATTGAATCTCTGTAAGTGTCTTATACTGTTTCCTACTTGTAATCGGAATACCACCGTTTTGGGTCTGGCCCAAGAGTGGACGATTAACACCCCGGTCTCATTAACACTGCCTCTAAAATCACAGTATCTGTTTGTACTGGAATACCCGACAATAACCTGGCCCATAACACTAGAATGAAACAGTAACAACTAACCTGATACTAGATTAAAATTTATGAATGAAACTAAAAGAAAATGACTATTTGTTAACGAATGAATGAAAAACTTTGAAAACATGTGAACCTAAATTCAGCTCTGTTTGGAAAATAGAGAAAACCCATTTGGCCTTTCCACTCACCGTCCATGTAACAATGAGCTCATCACGGTCTCCTCCTCCACCTCCCAGTCCACTCGGGGCCACAGTGGGAGCTGAGGGCCAACAGGACAAAGAGACAAGATGAACCACGAGTGTGGATCAATGTACCGTAGTATAAGTGCCTTTGAAAACTGGAAAGTACTGCTTTCAAGAGACAGTGACACACCAAATCTTTTTTAGTATTTATATACTCTCAGAAAAAATAGAGTACAGCATCAAATCAATGAAACTTCCTGCTCAGGAGAGTGGGTTGTTAATCAGTTTCATATGCGTCAGTGTTAATGAAATGAATGGTGCTGTACACGGGCGTATATACTGCCTGTGACACTGTTTAACGTGAGCGGTTTGATGGTCCGGGGAGGAGGATGCACAGACCTCTATAGTGCAACGGCTCAATCCTTGGACCTGCTGTCAGACCCTACGCTGGCTCCTCCTGGTGCATGAGGATGTGAGAGCTTGCAGGCACTTCCTGGATGATGAAGGAATTGATCCAATGAACTTGCCTCCAAGCTCACCACACCTCAATCCAACACAACATCTTTTGCACATGTTTCTGTACCTAAGAGTTTCCAGCCTGAGCTCAGCGATGGTCCAGACCTGGGAGCAGATGATCAGGACACCATCAGGCATTTGGAATATGTCCGGATTAGCATACACACAGCACATGGAAGCCATATAAACTACTATCATTTTGAGTTAGATGGCATTTTGGCTTTCCACGTCATTTTTTCAATTCCAGGTTGTCTTTGAATTTAGCTCTCTGTCTTGGGTTGGGGGGGGGCGGGTGTCTCTGGCTCCGCTGCAGTGGAGGGGTGGTGCAGCAGGCTCGAGGGCAGTGCCAGGGTGGCTGGCAGGGCAGCTGCTGCCACTCAGTAATCAGATTCTCCCTTTTTTCAGTGACGTTGGGGCTGGAGTGGACCGCAGAGTGTGGAGTGGAGACTGAAACGCTGACTGCCCCGACGTCGGAGTGACGGAAAGGAAAAGTACGTGGGGTGCGTTCATTTCACACAAATGATGTAACACCAGATCTCAGTCCGACAGAGGTCCTCTGGGATGTGACAGGAGCTGACAAATCAACTGCAAGATGCTACGATATCAGTACGGGCCAAAGGAACCATGGTGAACCTGTGCCAGAAAGAACTAAGGCAGCTCCGAACCAGCTGGTTCTGATGTAAACATCTGGTTCATGAACAGCTGTCCAAACTACCTCAAATGTGCAACTTACCTGCTTGCAGTGTCCGAACGATGTGGGAAGGCATGCTAGGCTCTCCACTGCCCAAGATGTTGCTGGCAATAACCTGGAATTCATAATCCGTCCAGGGAATCAATCCTGTCACACGAGCTGACTCTGCGTTTCCTTCAATGTTCACTGGATCTGGTGCACAGTGACACGTTTATTTCAATCAAAAACACTGATAGGAAAGTTTTACTGACCAACACTGTGCTAATGTATGAACACAGACACACCCAGTTCACTTTAATAACAACCCAACCCGATGAGTGTGTGAGTATACTGATACTAATGCTGTACAGGTTTCATGTATGCGCTTCCATCAGAAACGTGTTAAAGAAGTCTGACATGCAGACGGACAGCAACATGTTTGAATCGCCACCATCTTCACTCGTCCTGTACGTCTACACGTCCGTCTGAGTTTCATCGTCAGCATTATTCCCTGTTTCACAGTGTGAGTCTGCCCTCAGCTCTGCTGCAGGTTTCCTCGCTGTTGTCACGGAGGGCTTGCTAACAGGGGCTCATCTGTTTGTTGGGGTTTTTCTCTGGGTCTTTACCTTCAGATATAAAGTGTCTGTATGTGACTGTACGAATGTGATTCAGGGCTGTATACATTTAATTCCAACAGTTTTTAGTTCCAGTAAAAACTGTCCTGACAAACATCTCAGTGTGTTATCTACAAGACCTGATAAATGACAAATACAGAAGAGAAAACAGAGTTATTTATAACAATGTTGGAGAGGCTGGAGTGTGTGCTACTGACTGACTGAGTCTCTGAGCAGGGATGTGATGAAAAAGCTGAGAACACCAACATCAGCCTGACATCTCAGAACAATCGATAAAAACTCCGTGAGAATGAAATCCTTTTGCTGCATTCTTGTTATCATTGTATTGTTGGTTGTGTTATTACTGTGGTTTTGTTATTACTAGAAGCACAACAAGAATACTCCTTTTGTTCAGGTGTATGGTTAAAGACACACACACCTGTCCTCATCTTCCTCCACTCAGACGACAGAGGAGAGCGGCCCATGATGACGTATTTGCCGATAGGACTGTGGTTATCGTAACCACGGCTCCACCTGAGTTCCACTGATGTCTCAGCCACGTTCTTCACCAACAAACCTCCAGGAGGTCCTGGGGGTCCTGTTCAAACCAGAGACAAGTTTAAACATATGACACAATCTCCACATCGACAGAGTAAAGCAGTAAAGGTTGGTTTACCATAACTCACGTCACAAAATGTCAGATGTCTGCCTACTGCTACGTAGATGCCAAATCCTTACTTTAACACCAGGAGGCGCTATGCTAACTCCAGACTTATTACAGCTGTATAGGTTGAGCTACTCCCCAGTAAAACCTGTGATCCCTTTTCTCCTTTGCAAATCCACCTCCTATTATCTTCTTGCTTTAGTGTGACTGCCCATCTTATCATTGTTCTGTGATTATTCTTGTCCAGCAGCTTTCCAAACCTTTGAGTTGCCTTTAATAAACACAGGCGGCTTTAGTGCATAGAATAAAGTGCTGTCTTTGAAAAACATGAGTGTGACAACTACAGTTTCATCTTTTTTAAAAACTACTATGTGAGTTTAATTACATTTGCTTTCATTAAAACAGAAAGCTATCATATGAGTCTCTTTGCCCTGAAGCTGTCTTCCCATGCAGTGTTAGCTTAAACACAAACATCACACGAGTCCATAGACGGGACCCTCACAGGTAATGCTTGGCAGTGTTCTGAGTGTGATCTAAAACTCATGCTCACAAGCATTATAATCTATGTTCAGTTCAATTCATCTTTATTTATACAAATCACAACAGTCACCTCAAAGGGTTTTATATAGCAAAACCAAAACAGGCCTTATTATGTAAATGCAGAGTAGTGAGAATATGACATCAGAGGACAGCTGTTTTACCTCGAACCACCAGCTTAGCTGAGGCTGCGGCGCTGTCCACCACGGTCTGAGCTGTGCACACGTACGTCCCCGCCTGGCTCAGCTGAGCCCTCACAATCAACAGGTCACCAGTGTTTTCCTTCTGAAAGGACACACACACACACACACACACACACACACACACACACACACACACACACACACACACACACACACACACACACAGAACACACACACACAGACACACACACACACACACACACACACACACAGAGACACACACACACACACACAGACACACACACACACACACACACACACACACACACACACACACAGACAGACACACACACACAGACACACACACGACACACACACACACACACACACACAACACACACACAGACACACACACACACACACACACACACACAGAGACACACACACACACACACACACACACACACACACACACACACACACACACACACACACACAGACACACACACACACACACACACACACACAGACATACACACACACACACACACACACACAGACACACACAGACACACACACAGACAAACACACAGACACACACACACAGCACACACACACACACACGCAGACACACACACAGACACACACACACACACACACGACACACGACACACACACACAGACACACACACAGACACACACACACACACACACACAAACACAGACACACACATACACACAGACAACACACACACACAGACACACACACACAACACAGACAGACACACACACACACACACACACAACACACACTGACACACACACAGACACTCACAGACACACACACAGACACACACACACGCACACACACACGACACACACACACAGACACACACAGACAAACACACAGACACACACACACACACACACACACACACACACACACACACACACACACGCAGAGAAAGAAAACAAATGACATGAGTCTAAGTGGATTTCGGTCATTCTGAGTATATTTGGGGAATCGGATTCTTGAAGAAAACTGGTTCCCAGTACTCCAATTCCCACTTGTCAGTTCTTGCTCTCACTCTGATCAGCTGATTTCATTTCGGGTGTCAGAGGAGAAAAACAGTGACGCAGTCCAGAGCGTGGACATGGACATTTATTTTTATTGTGCAAAGACGAGATAAAAAACGTGTAAAAGCATCCAGGGCCGAAACAACTGCATATGCTGATAACACAACTTCAGTTCTTTGCAAGCATCTGCACAGACCAAGAACCAGAGTGAAAGCTGAGGGAAAGCGACTGGATAAGTGATATCGGTACTGGAGGTTTAATACAAAGAACATGTTTATTATGAGGAAAAGATGCTATTTCTTCAGTGCTCAGGTCATGTGCATTCAAAAGCTTCAATGAAACTGGAACTTAAACATGCTAAAGAACAGCTAGGTATGCAGCCTATCCTTAGCCCTGACAATAGTTAGCCAAGACACTGCAGCCAGTTTTAAGCTAGTTCAGGGGTCACGACCTTTAAGACCCAAAGAGCCGTTTGGAGCCGGTTTCCACGCAAAAGAAAACTCTGGGAGCCGCAAATACTTTCTGACATCTAAAATGAAGATAACACTGTATATACTGTTTTTTACCTTTATGCTTTGTGTGAACAACTAAGGTGTGCTGCTTATGACATCCATGAAGTGCTACAGAGAAAATTACATTTTATTTATGTAACTAACACATTTTGAACTCTTACAAAAGGAAAGCTGAACTAAAATGATCCAGCAAACAAAAACTGTTGTGAGCCGCCCTTATATCGCCTTTGGGCTTTTGGAGCCTTGACCTGACTTTTAAAAAATAATTGGAAAAAAGATATATATATAAAAAAAAGATATAAACAATGAAAAATAGATATTTGCAGAATTCTGCCTAAATATGTAGTTTACCTGGTTAATGTGTGTGGCGGGGTGTGGTCTGCAGCGCCGCTGCAGGGGAGGCGACACACCTGAGCGGCACCCGCAATCACGCCTCGCCGCCTTAACGTCTGTGCTGTTGTGTTGGTGTGTGTCGGGCTGTGAGCTGCAAAGCTACAGCCGGCTGTGTGCGCACAGCAACCGTGTGTGAAAAGTGGTCAATAAAGAGATGCTGAAAAGCGTGTTCATGCAAACATCGTCGGGTCTGCCGTGATATGTTTACAATGGCACTTCTGCTCCTGAACCTCTGCGCACAGCGCCTGCAAGTCGGGGCTGTACGAAGTCACTTTATCTTTACAGGACTGTAAGCTGTCGTCTGTGAGGCGTGAGCGGTGTTTGTTTTAACACAGTTCACGGTGGAGCTGCTGACATGATGTGGATCCGAAGATCCATAATTTACCTACCTGGGGCTGAAAGTCTCGATAAATGCACGGCGTTTCGGCGGGTACACGGGCTTCTGCCAGTGTGACGCTTATTTTGAGCGATAATAATAGAATATAATTTTATTTTTATATTTTAATATCACAATAATCTTTCAATTTAGAACTACAAGTTATAAAAGAACATAAATAAAATACACTTCAGGTAAATACTTCTAATTTATTTTCCCAAACCACGTGGAGCCGCAGTGTAAGGACTAAAGAGCCGCGGCTCCGGAGCTACAGGTTGCCGACCCCTGAGCTAGACCTTTATAGCAACATCTTATTACATCAACTTTCATGAAACAGTTAAATATAAGGAGCAGGGACGTGAAATAGACATTAATCTCATTTAAAAGCATATACCTGTGAATTATGCCACCGTTATATTCATTAATGAAGTAACTAGATCGCCTATAGCAGTTCAGTCCACCTAAAATCAACTCTGACTTTTTAACTGCTTTTTCTAACTTTCTCGCTGAAACCCTACTCTTATCTCCAAATATACTACTGCTTTTAACATGGAGAACACATCAAATTCAGCCACAAGAGATTTTATATGCTGTCTGGACAATTTTGGCTTACACCAATATATGAACGTTCCCAAACACTCCAAAGGACACATTTTGGATCTTGTTTGCTGCATTGGTGTCACCCCTAAGAACTGTGCTGTTTTGGCCTCTTTCAGACCATAAATTAGTTTTATTCAGTGTTAGTCTCCCACTATACAAAAATAAACAAAACCACTCAATTACTTTTAGAAATATTAGGGGCATTGATCTATCAGCTCTTTCCCATGGCATTAATAACTTACCTACCATTGATGCCTCAGCTTCCATAGACGACCTGCTATCTCACTATAACAATGACCTTATCAACCTCTTAGATACCTTGGCTTCCCAAAAAACTCGAACTGTTTCTTTCTGTCGCTCTACACCATGGTACTCAACCTCGCCAACTTAAAGCTACTGGACGCCGCCTGGAACGTCTCTCCAGGAAAACAGGACTTACTATTCACAAGGACATGTATCTCAGTCATATACAACACTATAAAGAAGCTATTTGTAAGCTAAATCTGCTTACTACACCTCTGTTATTGAATCCGCTGAAGGAAACACTCGCACTTTGTTTTCTACATTACACAATACTGTTAAACCCCCAGATACCTTTGCCATACATACACACTCTGCCAGTCTGCAACAAATTTATGGACTTGTTTTACACCAAGACTGAGAATCTTCATCAACACTTGCCCTCGTCCTGTGATATGGTCAAATGTATCTGCATTTTGTCCTTCTCAGCTGTCATCCTCTCTGTCCAATTTTGAAATTCCCACAATAACTCAGCCATCTTCCATAATTACAAACTTAAAGTCGTCATCGTGTAAACTTGATCCGCTGCCGACAATTCTGGTCAAACTCTCATTCCCGTCTCTTGCCCCACTGATTGCTAATATCGTACACTCCTCTCTTATATCTGGTTCTGTTCCTTCTTCTCTTAAAACTGCAATAATAACTCCCATACTGAAAAAGAACGGTTCAGATCCCTCCAATCTAAATAATTTCAGGCCAATTTCAAATCTTGCAAATTAGCAAAAATTCTTGAAAAGATACTGGCTGCACAGGTTCATCGTCATCTCACTGGAAATAACTTGTACGAACAGTTTCAGTCCGGCTTCCGGTTTCTGTACTGTGTTCATGTCACAGTACAGAAACATCTCTAGTAAAAATCACCAATGATCTTCTGCTTGCAGCTGACTCTGGACTCATCTCCATCTTCATTCTCAACCTTACAGCAGCTTTTGACACTATCTCCCACCGCATCCTTCTTCACAGATTAGCATCTATTGGCATCAATGGTACAGCACTCGCCTGGTTTACCTCTTATCTCTCTGGCTGCTCACAGTTTGTTCAGTTACTCCCTCACAGATCAGCATCTACTCCAGTTAATTCCGGTGAACCCCAAGGCTCTGTCCTGGGTCCTTTACTTTTTATCATCTATCTCCTACCCC